GCCATTAAGAAAGTTCTAATATCTTGTAAGTGGTCAAGATCCCCACCCCTAAACCATATATATTCTGGTTTGTCATGATAAAGCACATCATATGAAATACAGGGTTAGTCCCCAGGGGTCATCCCGACCCCCTGCCATTTGAGAAAGTTCTAATATCTTGTAAATGGTCGAGATCCCCACCCCTAAACCATATATATTCTGGTTTGTCATGATAAAGCACATCATATGAAATACAGGGTTAGTCCCCAGGGGTCACCCCGACCCCCTGCCATTTAAGAAAGTTCTAATATCTTGTAAGTGGTCAAGATCCCCACCCCTAAACCATATATATTCTGGTTTGTCATGATAAAGCACTTCAAATGAAATACAGGGTTAGTCCCCAGGTGTCACCCCCACCCCCTACCATTTAAGAAAGTTCTAATATCTTCTAAGTGGTCAAGATCCCCACCCCTAAACCATATATATTCTGGTTTGTCATGCTAAGATGGTTTGAATGATATACAGGGTTAGTCCCCAGGGGTCATCCCGACCCCCTGCCATTTGAGAAAGTTCTAATATCTTGTAAATGGTCGAGATCCCCACCCCTAAACCATATATATTCTGGTTTGTCATGATAAAGCACATCAAATGAAATACAGGGTTTGTCCCTAGGGGTCCCCCCCCCCCCTTCCATTTGAGAAAGTTCTAATATGTTGTAAGTGGTCAAGATCCCCACCCCTAAACCATATATATTCCTATTTGTCATGTCTCGAACATTTGAATGACGTATATGGTCAGTCCCCAGGGGTTCCTCCCCACCCCCAATGTTCTAGTATCTTGTAAATGGTCGAGATCACCACCCCTAAACCATATATATTCTGGTTTGTCATGCCAAGATGATTTGAATGATATACAAGGTTAGTCCAAAGGCATCACTAATGCATATAACTTTACTGGACCAAACCAATTTTCACTGGAAGTTGCCCAATGTCAGGCGACCCTTGGAATTATGAATTATGGGAGCTTCGTTTGGGAGACTTCGTAACAGCATCCTGTTACATTCATTTCTTGTTATTATTTGGCATTGTTTAATAATTGATTGTTATCATCATTCCTCTAAATTGTTATTGCTAATTAAATTATGAAAACCTTCCTTGCGTTTTAGCTATGCCTATCAGAACATTAAGTCTAGCGATAGACTGACCCCCTGTCCCTTGGTTCCAGCACATACGAGTTAGCTCCCCCTTATCTAACAGTTCTCTGTGGGACCTTGGTGACAGATATGGTGGAGTTTGACCCTGGGCATGATACAAATGAAATTCTGCATAGCATAGCTAGAATGTAGGTTGGCAAAATTCATTCAAAATTATCTAAAACTTAAATTTTCAAAATTGAGACAACAGCAGGAGAGACAATAAGAGGAAGAGAGAACCAGTAACAGCAGAGACAAGTTGTAGATTCAACAACACACAACTAAAAGATAAGTACATCTTGCTTATTATATTACGCTTTAACATTTTAAGTGAAGAGTACAGATGTATGTTGATTCTTGGTGTGAATCTGTAATTTTATAATATTTGTCAACTTTACAGAAGTGAACGTTCAGTTCAGGAGAAACTTTATTTGTGCAATTAATTTTATATGATTGGGAAATTTGACTCATAGTAGAGAGAATATAACATAAACAAGATATTGACAAAAATTCCTTTTAGTTTCAGTTTGGTAATGGGAATAGAAAAATCATGGGAAGAAAGAGAATTTTAAAAGGATGGTGCTGCAAAAAAGACAGATGTGCCAGGCTATCCAGTGTTATACCAGGAACAGCAAGTATCCAGTTCAGAACAACCATGGAGAGGAACTTTGTTGAAATTGGACTAGAGAACCTTCAAGTGAGATGTTTAGTAGTTAGTGGAGCTTCTTTTAACTGTATCAGCCAACATCAGTTGTATCGTCTAAACACCACTACAGCGATACAGAAATCAACAATCAGTAGTGCAATAGGTGTCTGTGGAGAAGTGCATGCAATAATCGGAGAAATAGTGCTTCAACTTTCTTTTGGACATCTTAGTAGAAATTCATAATTTTTTAACATAACTTGCTAGAGCTTATTTATTGGATTAAACTTTTTGTGAAACAACAAAGCAAAAACAGACTAAAAGAACAATACTTTGATATTACCAACTCAGATCATTAAGACATTAGTGAATATCATGATGGTGCTTATCATGTTACCATAGCAACCTTCCAAGACAGTAGTACATAGAAAACAATCAGTTTCTATCTTTTTTTTGTAGTTCTAGGAATTAATAGGAGTGCACGCCTGTTGGTTCTTTTTACTACATCAATTTGAATTTTGGATTACAGGGATATTATTTTATAATTCATCTGTTAAATTTCCTAACAAGGAATACAGGTTGCTGGAAGCTAGCACATTGAAATAAATTGTTGGTATATTTATTTTTTGGCATCTGGTTATAGTTTGTAGTGTCAGAGTGTATTCAGATTTTTATAGGTGTTACTAATGTGAATGTTTATATCATGTTTGGGGACAAACATATAAGAGTAGGGGGGAATATGTCATGGTGTGTTATTTGGCTTATATTTGTGTTAGTGTTATTTTGGATAAAAAATATGTTTTATTTTAAGAAAGAAAATTTTAAGTTTGTATTTTGTAACATTTTTGATTAATTTTGGTTTAATTGATTTTTACCTATGCTGTGGCATTAATACTTGAAATGTCACAGTTTGCTCAAAGCACTTTGTTTTGAAATATTAATTGTAATTAGCATATGTCATTTTGAAAGTTTAAGATTTTATCAAAACATTATAGGATTAGGCTTTGTTAATTAAAGTCTATTTTTGCTAATGAGAGTAATATTTACATGTCGAGTATTATTGATCTATTTTTGGATTTAGTATAAATAGCGTTCTGAAATTTAGGAAAATCAGTCACCTTTCGGAAACCTTAACTTGCACTGCTAAAGTCTATTATACTGGATCTGTAAGACTGTTGATCAGTCTACCAGTTGACTTTGTAGTGTTTAGACAAAAATTTATTTTTGACTCGCCTTTTATTTTTGAGAAAACTTTAGAAAACAGTCAGTGTTTCGGAAGCGTAACCTCTCACTACTCACGTCATGATACTGGACCTATAAGACTGTCTACCAGTCTACCAGTTGACGGTTTAGTGTTGAGACAAAATTTATTTCTGACTCATAATTTAACTTTGGAAAATACTTTTGAGAATCTTTTATTTTTGAGACTTTTACATTTTGATTTTGAGATTAAGTTCATTTTATGATTTAGTAGTTTTGGCATTTATTTTACATTTTACATTGTAAGGGGAAATAGTTTTACTTTGGAGTTGATATTTAGATTTGATACTTTGTACTTTAATTATTATTATTATTTGGCATTGTTTAATAATTGATTGTTATCATCATTCCTCTAAATTGTTATTGCTAATTAAATTATGAAAACCTTCCTTGCGTTTTAGCTATGCCTATCAGAACATTAAGTCTAGCGATAGACTGACCCCCTGTCCCTTGGTTCCAGCACATACGAGTTAGCTCCCCCTTATCTAACAGTGCTCTGTGGGACCTTGGTGACATACCCCTTGCACCTTTGAGTTAGCGAAACTTACTTTGAATATAATCTAGTCTCAGTAGCTCACAAATAAATGACATCTTCTAATTTCAAACAACAGTCAGGTTATTAAATAGCTCTTGATAGAATTTAAACTGACCTACCTAGTTGCAAGAAAATGTGGAATACTCTTGAAGGCTGATGATTTTTTTTGTGTTGAAAGAAATGCAGATGTTACATAAATTCATTTGACTGGATGAAAATTGTATTTTTGATAAGTCTAAATATGTTGTTCTTATTTCCAATAGATTTTCTCTGTCTGCAATTCTAACTTAAATTTTGTATATTGATTGAAGCACAACTCCATTACGTCAGGCTAAAAATCTGAGCAAAATAACAGCTGGTATCTCCAGTGGCAAATAATTTTTAGTGTATTCTTAGTAATGTTTACATATTAAACATTGTGTTTGAAAAATAACAAAGGATTTGAAAGTTGTATTGAACAACGTTTTAAAAATAATAACATTAACTTCTAACTTCTCTGTTATTCTGTGTTACTCCAAATTAATTTCCTTTATTGATAGCATATGCTTCTAATACAAGTTGTGACTTGTCAATAATTTCGTACTAATTCTTTCATTAGATTTTCCAGAATTCAGTATTACCAATAACGTTAATGAGACAGATAGTATGTTACTACATGTATCACAATTGTTATAGATTCCAATGCAGTCATGTCCCAGGATGCCAATAGAACAATTAGTATACTATTGATTTTGATGTAAATCATATATCAGTACGTTGGGGATTTAGAAACTTTGACATAATATTGTCTGCATCAGCATTTCCTTCTGTGGAATAAGTTTACTTTAATATTCATAGTCTGATTGTTTCCATACCGTAAATGTTCCAAGTCAAAGAAAAAAAGTTAATCTATAAAATGAAAAATGAATGATTGCTCATTGATATAATATCCAATGGCAAATATTTTTGTGCATATATAGATTTAGAACAAATAAGTATTGTATCTCAGATAATTTGGTTAAAAGGAAAAGTTGTGCTTATAGTCAATGAAACAGATACTCCAAGTTAATAATAAACAATAGACATCTATATGGGACAAAATAAAATCTTAAAAGTAGGGGACCAAATAAACAAAGATACTACTACTGCAGGGTTTCTGCAATGCATAGTAATTACTGAAATTACAAAATGTGTGTCTGACTAGTTATACATGTAACAAATGAAGAGATTATATAGCCAGTAGAATAATTTCCTGATTTCATACTTCTTGTATAATTAAAATTTTCTGGTTTGGTAAAAGCCTTATATAAAAGTCACATTTATTTACAGAAAAGTGCTCTTGAAGGGCTGAAACTGGAATAAGTAAAAAAAAAAATTACTTACCAATAGTCTTCTATTTAATTTCATTACAGGGCAGCGAGTAAATATAAAACTTGTGTAGAACAGGGAAAGTCTCAATGTCCAGACTCCCAAAGTGTTACAAATGCAGAGATGATGATAGAATCATACAAAACATTGTGTGGTGGTAAGTACAACCAGAGAGCACACTATGTACAAAAGGTATTTTATGCTGAATGCAAGGTCCCATCAATAAGGTTCTTCATAGATTGAAATAAGTTTTAAATATATAAAGAGTTAAGTAACTGTTCATTAAAAAAACTGTCATTTTCATTTTACAATATATAAAATTGAACTCCCTTTGATTTTGAAGATATTTGCTTTGTAATTCAATATTTCTTTAGACTTCAAAGTCAATTAGAATTTTTAAGAAATCTGTGACCCACATACCTACAAAGTTTTTTTTAGAAATGATAAATAAAAACAAATAAGGATACTTTCATAACTGTTTGAGAAATGCACCTTTAGGTGTATACATGAATGTCTGTCTGCCAGAAGTCATCTGGCCTTGATCCCTTTTCAGGGTTCCATGATCAATGTTAAGTTTTCACTCTGAGATCAGATTCTAAATTACTATTAGTAATAGGTCTACCAGATTTGGTCTAGAATTATTGTAGGGTGTTGATGTTTGTCTAAGTGTGTTTACCTATAAACCTTGACCTCATTTTCATGGTTCATCTGACAGAAGTCATCTGACCTTGGCCTCTTATTGGAGGTTCAGTGATCAATATCAAAATGTTAGCACTTGGTTCAGTTCCTTCGAGAAAAATAGGTCAATTCATCAATAGAATATTTGAATATTTGTAAGGTGTACATAGTCTGTCTAACAGCTAAAACCTGACCTTTGCCACATTTTCAAAGTTCAACAATCAAGGTTAAATGCATATAAAAATAAGAAGATGTGGTATGATTGCCAATGAGACAACTATCCACCAGAGGTCAAATGATGTTAGCAGCTTGAGGTCAGGGCTGGTTTTTCAGTTATTAAGTGTAGTAGGTCAATTATTGTGTAGCCTGTCAATTATTGTGTAGCCAGTCAATTATTGTGTAGCCTAACAGCAAAGCTGGGGCAAGTTAAGGGGATCACTTCTATCTTCTTTGGTTGTCGTAGTGTGAGTTTCCACTTAACACTTTATGTTAATGTGCATTTGTTAAAAACAGCTGTAACATAATTTGGATTTGTACAATACTCTAATTACTACATACAGACAAATGTGTACTTCTTTAATAGACTTTACATTTTGTTATACATTTGTACAATGATATTTAACATTAGTACATGTATTACTTCAATTATGCCGATACATGTATCCTGCAGCAAATTGATAACCTTGTACAGACCAGGAAGATTCAACAGTATAATAGACTTGGAAAGAAGTAGAAAATGAGATTCCGCCAGGTCTCCCACCCCCTCGTTGGTAGACAGGAATTCATTCACCTCCAGAATTCATACTCATCAAGACAATAAATATACCACTATACGATTACGTGTCTGTGTGACAATTTGTGAACTTTCGAACAATTCAACATTTGAACTGTTGAAACATTCTTTAAATTGTATTCAGTAATAAATACTTATTGTATTCCTAAATCGACTTCGTTATACAGCTTGACAGAATTCATCCGAACACTTATAGATTCTTTTACAGGGCATGAAGTTGTTCATTCGCTGTTAAAGTTTTTAATCTAAATGACTTAACTATTTCTCCTTATATCAGTTTGTTAATTTACAACTCCCTGAAAAAGGCTTAGCAAATTTCAACCAAACTTTCACATATTTTCCTACAGGTTCTGAATTAGTACACCTGGAAAATAAGCTTATGATCAGAACAATTTTTCTTTTTTCTCATACCAAAACATACACTTCTGCTTTAATGATTTGAAGACAGCAGGCTTTCAATGAAAGGCTCACACATGGGTTTTAGTTCATGGAATCAATTTGTGATATACATGACGTGTGACGGAGGCAACCTAAATTCAATTTTATGGTTCAAAAATTAGTGTTAAGTCCTCTTGCTTATGTCAGTTTCTCAGCTCCTATAACTATTAGGTCAACTATATTCAGTAAGGATCAATGTAAAGTATAAATGTTTGTCTGAAAGGGGTTCCTTGACCTTGACCTTCATCTAATTTGACTCATTAATTAATATCAAGTTTTCTGTATGCATTTGATATGTCTCTTGTATTTAAGAATGTCAGCATTTAATTCCTTTTTATACATGTGCATCTTTTTTCTAAAAACCAGGCAGGGTCTATTATAATAGTGGTACATTGTTAATTATAAAGCAGAGATGTTATGTTTTCATTTCATTTAGTAACTGGTACAATTGAAAAATATGAAATCAGTTATTGTAATTGTCTTTGATCTTAGAAAATATTTGTCCTCAAATATTGTAATTTAATGATTCATCTCCCTTTTGTAACACATTCTATATTATTTATATCTTCTATGCATATGACTTTTATTAGCTCACCTGGCTAACAGGGCCAGTTTGAGCTTTTTCTATCACTTGGCGTCTGTCGTCTTTGTCTGTTGTAGTCATCTGTCGTCGTCATGGAATAACTTTTTCAAAGATCATCTACAAACTACCAGGCCAAATTTAACCAAACTTGAAGACAGTCATCATTGGAATATCTAGTTTTAAAAATGTGTCTGATGACCTATAATGATCTTTTGTTCTTTAACATTTCAGTTTAGACAGGTTTTACAATATTTAAATGGCATTATTTTGAATTTCAGCTGTAAACCTCCTTAAATCATAGTTAACATTTTTAAACAATAGTTAACATCCTTAAACCATATTTAACAGCCTTTAACCATAGTAAATTCCTTAAACCATAAGCATTCTTAAACCATAGTACATCCTCAAACCATAGTTAACATCCTTAAACCATAGTTAACATCCTTAAACCATAGTTAACATCCTTAAACAATAAACATCCTTAAACCATAGTACATCCTTAAACCATAGTTAACATCCTTAAATCATAGTAAACATCCTTAAACCATAGTTAACATCCTTAAACCATAGTAAACATCCTTAAACCATAGTAAACATCCTTAAACCATAGTTAACATCCTTAAACCATAGTAAACAACCTCAAACAATGACATGGTAAAACACACAACTTATCAACTACCCCCGGTACAAGTTGAGAAGGCAAACTGCATACTTCTAATCTTTCATAATTTAATTATTGAGAAATGAAATCAAGTGATTTCTTGGAAGAGAAATCACCCTGGAGAGTTAAACCTAACGCTTTTAAGTCGGCATTTGCTTCTTCATTTAAGGGGTTAGATCTGGGTTAAGGATGGTAACTAAATTAGCAATGCATTTGTTAAAGTCACTTCCATAAATGCTCTTTGATCAATCATGTGAAGCAGAATAAACAGTGTTACAAAGTTAGAAGCTTGGAGTACATTTATGAAAATGGTTGACACGAACATATCAGTGATTTTATTAGAGCTATGATCTAGATCTTCAAGCAACTTTCGGTTCGATCAATATAATAATGTTTCTGGGTAAGGTTACATGTTTTTCTGTGATTGTTGCCTATGTTAGCTATAGGTAGCACCTTTGAAATTTATATCAGTCTATTTCTGTACAAAGTAGGGTTTATCATATGACTTTGATTGTTAGTCCTAAGTAAGCATGTAATATTTACCTTTGAAATTTGTATCAGTCTATTTCTGTACAAAGCAGGGTATATCATATGACTTTAATTGTTAGTCCTAATTAAGCATGTAATATTTTCCTGGAATAAGATCCCAGTTACAGGATACCAGTCCAGTACCCACTAATGAAGTCCATTAATAAATCCAAAATCTTTTAAATGGGATATTGTACCAAGATGAAAATAATGTAAAGATGCTTAAAATTGTAGTATATCTAAAGGGTATTCATTAAACTTTCAACTTCTATTAAATTTTAAGTGATTCTGAAATGTATAGGGTGGATGATTGTCTGAGTAAATGGTCCAAATTTTATTTTCGATTTTAACCAGGAAGTTAATAAAATGACCCTATTAATATTCAAAACAGTATTGCTCTTTTAAATGCCGGCCATGACCCTCTAAGAATTCCCCAAGAAACCATGAGGGGGCTACTAGTTTGAGAAAGTAACTGAAATTTTGCAGTCTAATATAGGGAATAAAAATATGCCCTTCAATTTGGATAAAATTGCATTGAAGTAATGGGGGAAATAATTGGGTCCCCGTTCCACCTTTGAAATTTGTATCAGTCTATTTCTGTACAAAGCAGGGTATATCATATGACTTTAAATGTTAGTCTTAAGTAAGCATGTAATATTTACAGTTGTATGCTAATTAAGTCTCCCAAACGAAGTTTGGGAAGACTTATTGTTTTTGCTCAGTTCTTATTATTATTATTATTCTTCTTCTTCTTCTTCTTCTTCTTCCGCCGCTTTTAAATTTGAACTTGTCCGCACCTGTTCTCCAAAACCGCTTGTCGGATTAACTTAGGGTTTCACAATATGTTAGACTAACATGTCTAGTGGTGCAATCAGGGTTTTGTTTTTGCAATGGGGTTTATAAAGGGGTACTTTGAGGGGCAAAAAGAAAAGAGGGTTTTACTATAGAACCCTATGGGATTTTATTTTTTTAAATTTTCAAATGATTATAAATTGAAAACAGTTCGTGATAGACACAAACTTTTTAATTGAAAATGTTCTAAATGATAAAGCCCATTAAATGAAATACAGGGTTAGTCCCCAGGGGTCACCCCCACCCCCTGCCATTTAAGAAAGTTCTAATACCTTGTAAGTGGTCAAGATCCCCACCCCTAAACCATATATATTCTGGTTTGTCATGCTAAGATGGTTTGAATGATATACAGGGTTAGTCCCCAGGGGTCATCCCCACCCCCTGTCATTTGAGAAAGTTCTAATATCTTGTAAATGGTCGAGATCCCCACCCCTAAACCATATATATTCTGGTTTGTCATGATAAAGCACATCAAATGTAATACAGGGTTAGTCCCCAGGGGTCACCCCCACCCCCTGCCATTTAAGAAAGTTCTAATATCTTCTAAGTTGTCAAGATCCCCACCCCTAAACCATATATATTCTCGTTTGTCATGCTAAGATGGTTTGAATGATATACAGGGTTAGTCCCCAGGGGTCATCCCGATCCCCTGCCATTTGAGAAAGTTCTAATATCTTGTAAATGGTCGAGATCCCCACCCCTAAACCATATATATTCTGGTTTGTCATGATAAAGCACATCAAATGAAATACAGGGTTAGTCCCCAGGGGTTACCCCCACCCCCTGCCATTTAAGAAAGTTCTAATATCTTGAAAGTGGTCAAGATCCCCACCCCTAAACCATATATATTCTGGTTTGTTATGCTAAGATGGTTTGAATGATATACAGGGTTAGTCCCCAGGGGTCATCCCGATCCCCTGCCATTTTAGAAAGTTCTAATATCTTGTAAATGGTCGAGATCCCCACCCCTAAACCATATATATTCTGGTTTGTCATGATAAAGCACATCAAATGTTATACAGGGTAAGTCCCCAGGGGTCACCCCCACCCCCTGCCATTTAAGAAAGTTCTAATATCTTCTAAGTTGTCAAGATCCCCACCCCTAAACCATATATATTCTGGTTTGTCATGCTGAGATGGTTTGAATGATATACAGGGTAAGTCCCCAGGGGTCATCCCGACCCCCTGCCATTTGAGAAAGTTCTAATATCTTGTAAATGGTCGAGATCCCCACCCCTAAACCATATATATTCTGGTTTGTCATGATAAAGCACATCAAATGTTATACAGGGTTAGTCCCCAGCGGTCACCCCCACCCCTTGCCATTTGAGAAAGTTCTAATATCTTGTAAATGGTCGAGATCCCCACCCCTAAACCATATATATTCTGGTTTGTCATGATAAAGCACATCAAATGAAATACAGGGTTAGTCTCCAGGGGTCACCCCCACCCCTTGCCATTTAAGAAAGTTCTAATATCTTGTAAATGGTCGAGATCCCCACCCCTAAACCATATATATTCTGGTTTGTCATGATAAAGCACATCAAATGTTATACAGGGTAAGTCCCCAGGGGTCACCCCCACCCTCTGCCATTTAAGAAAGTTCTAATATCTTCTAAGTGGTCAAGATCCCCACCCCTAAACCATATATATTCTGGTTTGTCATGCTGAGATGGTTTGAATGATATACAGGGTAAGTCCCCAGGGGTCATCCCGACCCCCTGCCATTTGAGAAAGTTCTAATATCTTGTAAATGGTCGAGATCCCCACCCCTAAACCATATATATTCCTATTTGTCATGTCTCGAACATTTGAATGACGTATACGGTCAGTCCCCAGGGGTTCCCCCCACCCCCAATGTTCTAATATCTTGTAAATGGTTGAGATCGCCACCCCTAAACCATATATATTCCTGTTCGTCATGTAATGAACATTTGAATGACGTATAGGGCCAGTCCCCAGGGGTTCCTCCCCACCCCCAATATTCTAGTATCTTGTAAATGGTTGAGATCCCCACCCCTAAACCATATATATTCTGGTTTGTCATGCCAAGATGATTTGAATGATATACAAGGTTAGTCCCCAGGCATCACTAATGCATATAACTTTACTGGACCAAACCAATTTTCAATGGACGTTGCCCAATGTCAGGCGACCCTGGGAATTACGAATTATGGGAGCTTCGTTTGGGAGACTTCGTAACAGCATCCTGTTACAATCATTTCTTGTTTCACATGAAGTTTTGATTTGTTTTGCAGCTTATGAAAAAAAGCTTTCATGCATTAATGCAAATTTACAGAACTTTATAACTTTTTATATTTCTGTTAGGATGTACTGCTCCTAAATTGATGAAATGTACTCAGATGCTGGGAGATTTGATGACAGAGGATTTTGAAGGATTTCCGACTCATGAGCAAATTAATACAGTTTGTCCGTAAGTATACATTTCTTACAGATTTCATCTGTAAATTGCCTTTTGGTATGGCATTAATGAAGAGGTTTCAGTTTTTTGTTATAACCATATCAATAAAATTATGAATTTGAAGGAGATTGATGGTATACATTAATCATGTAAATGAATAAGCAACCAAACAACACAATAAAATAAATAAAAACAAAAAAGACATCAAGTAGTTACTGTAAAACAGAACTTTTGGCAATGGATTGTTTCGCTAATTTTGTAGTTAGTATAGAATTGCAACTATTCATTTTCACAAATTTGATCTTTTAGGCAGAATGATTTCAACAAATGTTTTAATTTCTAGTCCGATAATAAAAATATGTTTGTTTGTCCATCTCTGACCCATCATTTCAGATGTAGGTAGGTAGGTAGACAAATTAATTTATTTTATTCTCATATAAAGTAATTTGTAAAAATTTGTCAAGATGGAAGATACTAAATAAAATTGAGAATGGAAATGGGGAATGTGTCAAAGAGACAACCCGACCAAACAGCAGAAAATAGCCGACGGCCACCAATGGGTCTTCAACACAGCGAGAAAATCCTGTCTACAATTTATATGCAAGTCATTTTCAGCTGGTACATTGTATATCACAAAAGAGTGGAAGTTTAATTTACTTGACAAATTTCAGATTTTTTTCTTCAAAATCAGACATGTTCAATTAGTGCTTTCTTAGAAAAAAATTCTTATGGGTTGGGAACGCCAGATAAAATCAGGTGTACAACCAAGTATATGCAAAGAAAGCAAAATCCATTCCAAAAAAATGTATCAATCTGTGAACATTGCATTGAACTGAGGAACTGTGTAAATCTTCTAAATCATGTTTATAGAATGTTTAGCAAGGAGTATTTTGTCTTTCAGTCAAAAATAATTTATATTTAACATTTAACTTATGGTACATTTTTTTGTAATTGTCAAATTGATACATGTAGGTAGCAGTTTGGAATTGAATGAAACTAACATTAGCGCTAAAATGACCTATGACAATCATTTATGACAATTTATATCAGTATGCATCTCGTAAAAGCAGACATACTGAGCGCAAAGCAGACTGCCAAAAATTGGCAAAATCCTTTAAAATTGCATACAAGTAGGTAAATTTTGTTTTGTTAAAAGCAGACTTTCTAAATCCTGTGAACTGGTTAGGTAAACCCTTCATTCAGGTTATCATCCTTTAGATATATTTCTATCTAAAGTGAGGTACTGTAAATTCAGAAATTATTGTGTGCATTTATTATTGAGATTTTAACATTTTAGATTAAAATGCGATTTTAATTTTTGCGATATTGAGAAAAATCCTGTTTAATTCATATGAAAAATTTCAAAATGCGAGTTTAAATTATTGCGATTGTAACCCTGTCGCATTTTTCGCAATAATAAAAACATCGCAACAATTTCCGAATTTACAGTATTATTTTCAGGTCAATCAAATACATTAAAAAAAAGAACCCAAAGAAAGGATAATTTTCATGATTAAAATTAATTTTGATAAGTTTCTATTTTCAGGAATACAGAACTTCATAAATGCATTGCTTTGTTTTGTGTAATAAATTAAAAAAAATCGGATGAATTTTGTACAACAATGGGGCATGTGAAATGAAAACTATAAGGCCATCAATTTAGTGATAATAACCACTCAATTAAAGGCATACTGGGATTAATTCCCCTCATCAATTCAGACAAAATCTTGAAATATTTTATACACAATCATAAAAGTCATCATGGTAATAACAAAACTAAAGTATCTGCTTACTGTAAATTCAGAAATTATTGCGTGCATTTATTACATTGCGATTTTGTCATTTTAGACTAAAATGCGATTTTAATTTTTGCGATATTCAGAAAATTCCTGTTTGATTCATATAAAAAATTTTCAAAATGCGAATTTTAATTATTGCGATGATAACCTTGTTGCATTTTTCGCAATGATAAAAACATCGCAATAATTTCTGAATTTACAGTATATGACTTTTATGTTATTGTGCATGAAAACTGACATCTCTGATCAGTGATTAGGTAAGATAATTGATGCTAACTACAATCTTACAGCAAATATTTGGTTTTCAAAAGCAATACTTTCAAGAGACTATCTATCCATAGGCACACAGTGATATTAAAATTAATATTTCATTATATTCAACGTTGAAAACAATCCAAATTTTTCAACATGGCCCTCAGACCTTAAGAAAATCAATCAGAAAAACATCATGTTGGACAGCTGTTCGAGTTGTGTTTCAGACACAATAGTAATTTTTAACATTTTATTTCTCAAAACATACTTTGAGAAGACATTCTTTACTGCACGGGTGGTAGTGGGATAAAAAAAAATGACTGAAATATTACGAAAGTCCAACTTGAAAAAAATTGGGCTGCACTTCCCCTACGAAATGTGCATTTACACCACTTACCATGTAAATCCCAGGTTAAACAGATAGGAAGAAATCAATAGGTGTGGGGCAGGTTCATTTATAAAACTTGAAACCATACACCTTATCGTGCCTTTAAAGAATATGTAAAAAAAATACAAACCTTCAATATTCTTGTCCTCATATGTGTTCCAATTTCTCAATGAACAAACTTCATACATACCCTTAAAACTAGTTTGTTACGGGTTACAAAGTTTGGGAGAAAGTAACACAGAGGTTTCAAGTCCCAGTACATTTGTGAAACATGTTTACTAGAATTTATAACAACTTAATGTGTCTTCATAAGAGCCAAAGTATTCAACTGTTGGATTTTTATCAATCTTCAATTTCCCAGCAAAAAGCCCTTGTATAGAATAAGATTTATGAGGTAGAAACATCACAGCTTTATCTCAAAGACAGAAAAAAATGTTTAACCATTAGACTTTTCTTCAACTTCCCTGACAAGTTCGTCATCGATGAAACAATGAACAGATAAAGCAACCTCATGATTAATAATAGAAACTCAAACATTTTTATTTATCTCTTTATTTATTTGTTCATTTATTTTTTACGATGATTATTTCTAAAATCAGTGCATTTTCTTGAATTGATCCGTGTTTTTAGAATTCGCTATATTGGAACACAACAGACTTTTCTTAACATGGCTACCTACAGACACAAAGCTTTCCGAATGGCTGAACAATGTATCACTCAGACGTTTGAAAACACAGATGATTAACATATATCCAGGAAAATAATTTCTGTCATTGATCACAATGGTTATTCCAATAGTAGGGTCCATGGCGGACAAAATAGATAAAAAAAAATATTTGTTTAGATATTGCAATAAAATTTTTAGGGTCAAGCCATTTTTTGGGTAAAGATTGCATGAAATGCAATCAAAACCCTATAGTACTGACTTGATATCTAAATCTTCCAAGGTTTATTACTACCTTTCATAGTTCAAACAAAATAGTGCAGTGAAGTGATCATTCTTTAGATCCTATCCAGTCAATGTCAAGCAATTTATTAATGATGTGTTATACTTAGATATTCAAGTTACAATATGATGTGTATTTGAATTACCATACTTATCAAGAAGAATGTTCTTTATTAAAATTTAATGCATGGTGTATGCATCTGTGATGAAAATAGGCTTAACTACAAATGTACAATCATGAACAAAGGAGGATAACTCCAACTCAAAATATAACTAAATGCAATTCAATGTTTTATTTTAAATTCACAAAATTGCAAAATGTAAGCAATCTTTACCGTTTTGTGCTCACAAGCACTTTCATTCTGGGTCAGTCGGAGATAGGCAAACAATCTTTAATTTATTTTAGGCCCTATGACAAACACATTTTATTTAACATTCTTGTTCAAGTTTACTTTTATACTTACTTTCACTCTCTAATTACAATTACTCTCAATGGTGACTTTGTGATGTGTAAATTATCACTTTCAGTTTTGTACTTAAGCATGTTTTTTTATGCCATTGCCACAACAGAGGGGGCATTAAGTGTTACCTATGTCCCTCTGTACGTCCGTCCATCTGTCTGTCCGTAGTCCATATGTATGTGTGTCCCAAAATTGGTGTTCTGTTCTCTTAACTTTAGTTTGCCTCAACTTTATGCTATGAAATTTATACACAGTGCTTAGTCCCACAAACCACAGATCGTTTGAAATTGACTGGTGTCACTTTTCCTGAACTAGAGTTATGCCCTTTACAAATGGAAAAATTGCTGAATTTTTTGTTATGGTTCTCTTACCGGTACTTAAGCTTGCCTTAACCAAATGTTATGAAACTTATACACAATGCTTATTACCACAAAACTCAGATCAAGTTTGAATTTGGGTGGCGTCACTTTTACCGTTCTTGAGTTATGTTCCTTTATAACGTTATATGCAAGCCAAGGCATCATCTGTGTCCCGTGGACATATTCTCTATTTATTTGGTCTTTCCACTTTTCGGTGGAAAGACCTATTGTTTTTGCTCTGATTATTATTTTTTTTTCTTCCGCAGTATTATTGTTTCACAAGATGTCACTTTGATATTTGGTATATGATATTGAACAGTTTATGCTATTTGAAACTAACCCTGTTTAACCGAACACTTTTTCTTGTAGGAGTTATATCCCTAAACACTGTTTTTCTTGTGGCCACATCTCCTTCGTGACTGTAAAAGTAACCGACAAATTTATTTTACCAAATTGCTCGCTATATCTTCAGGATGTTGAGTTTGGTTTTGACCGAAGCGTTCCGGAGACTCCATATGAGAGCTTTTTCCCCTTATGCATTTGATTTAAGTTATATGCATTTGTAACTGGTAAACCATAAGTGATAGAGACCTAGGGTCTTTGGATTTGAAGTCCTTGGTTCCAAAAAAGAAAATAAGGTCAAGGTCATATTCTAAATTTTTTGATTTTTGCTTTTTTTCACTTCTTTTCAAAAACCTTATAAGATATTGACAACAATTTTTTCATTAAATTGTTAGTTGCGACATGTTGTAACACATACATTTGGCTGAAAGTGTACGCCGACATTTAATGGGAGTTTTCTCCCTTCTTATATTTAATATTACGAGTATGATGATATAACTCATTAACCATATATAATAAAGACCTAGGGTCTTTTGATTTGAGGTCCTGGGTTTATGACCTTGAAATTTAGGTCAAGGTCATAGGTAAATGTGACGTTCAAGATTTTGACCTTTGCTTTAACTCTTTATGTATACATGATAACGCCATAAGACTTTATGCACTAGGTTGCAATCCATATGACCTTGAAAAGCCAACCAGAAGGGACCTTGTGTAAACCGGAAGAAGCTATTTTCTTGTACTTATTTAATGTAAAAGTATATAGAACCATATATTTTAGGAATCAGTGTCAAGTAAACTATCAAATAATACAGGAAGTGATATTTTTCAAACCGGAAGTAACAAATTATCTCCCATATTTCAAACAAAAGTGTATAGAAACCATATATTTTTGGAATTAGCGTAGAATAAGCTATCATTTGAAAATGACATTTTAAACCAGATATTAAGATTTTCATATCAAAATATATTGTTTCGGTTGGAAAGACCTACAATTGCTCTCTGAACAATTAGTTTTTAATTTTGTATTGTTTTTATCCTGATTATGGTGCGCAAGGTACTGAAACATGTAGAGTTCATTAAATTACTGCTGCCATACCCAAAGTTTTGTCATTATAAGAGTCTTTACAACAAATAATCTTAGGGTTAGGGTTAGGGTTAGAATTATGATTTATTGAATAAGACTGAGAAACAAAAAGACAAAACAGAAGAGTTGACTTCAACATGCATATTTTAAATCAGGCAAATTTAGAAGAATTACCACTTTAAAGGAAAGTACATTTAAACATAAGCAAGGAAAACATTTTATTTCTTAAACACTAAATGATTATGGCTTTGATTTATGCATAATTACATATATTGGTGTAGATTCACATGAGAATAAAACAGCATGATTAAGTTACATTAGTACTCGTGCAAAAATTATGCATGTTACTTTTTCCATCTAGTCAAATGTGTATTCGAGGGTCAACTTTATTATAAAAAAACAGATGTTCTCCCTTGAGGGATCTCTAAATACAGGTTTGGGGGTCTCAGTGGCCCAGTTGTCTAAGTAGTTCAACTACTGTATCACTAGCCTGTCAACACTGATGTTGTGAGTTCAAATCCTGCATTTACTGGCAGGTGGAGTCAACTCCAATCTTAATTGACACTGATTGTCAGCTTTCCTACTGAAAAACGGTGGTTCTCTCTGGGCACTCTGGTTTCCTCCCCTTATACAAACTGACGGCCACGAAATAGCCAATAATGCTGAAAGTGGCATTAAACACCAATCAATCAATAATACAGGTTTGATTGAATAGTGTTATATTCTGCATTTTATTCTATAAAATGTAGATTTTTTTCACTAAGCTGTTTATGTCTTGAAAGCTATTGACTCTTGTTAAACTTAGATTTGAAGTTGTCTGAATATTACCTTTTGAAAATAATAGAGGCATGATATTGTATGGTATTTACTGCTTTACTCTGAATATTATTTAATTACAATGCAATTTATGCATGAAACATTTTATTTATCAACTATTTTAGAAAGCTGACAAGTTTCAAGAATTGTATATCTCCAATCAAAACTAAGTGTGACGCTATGAAATCTTCTCAAGCACAGCAAATTAGCAAGGGTATTGAGGCAGCTTTAAGTTATACTGACTTAATGTGTGGGGCTGATTTTAAAGCAGGTAGATATATAGTTTATGTTAAATACAGTTGTTTCCTCTTAATTGTATACTGGTTACTGGTGTAAATGTTGATATTTTTTGAGATTTTTTATGCCTAAACTTGTTATGTGTGGTATAAATTTGTTCATCAGATGATAAGTGTGCCCTCAACACCATTATTGTGGAGTTGTTCAAAGTACTTGAACAAGGGATATTTTGTGGGGATTTTCTGTGATCAGGAAATAAGCAAAAACGATCTCTTACTTACATTTCAACATTTAGAGAAGCCGAAATGATGGCAAAAGTTATGCAAATATCAGAAAAACACTTTTTTATCAGAAGTAGTTGTATGCATATTTCTAAACAAAAAGACCTTCTGAGACAATTATGAAGGACCCATGATATTGGTACAAACAAGCATAAAAACTAAATTCCTGTAAAAAATGCTGTTTGGATAGTTCTTACCTAATTACCAATTAATATTATTGCAATGATAGTTGCATTTCCCCCTACAATTGAGATGCAGAAAATTGACTCATTTGACATTCTGACTGGGCCCAATACAATTGAGTCAATTGTATCAATTTAATAACAGAAATCAATTTATTCCATTGACCTAGAGATTGAGAACCATTAACATCTTGAAAAAACAGGGACAAACTCCAGTGCTCTGAAAAGGAATGCAAGTTTCTGCACCAGGAGTGACACACATGTGTTGTTCCTGATAAATGTAAATCTGGTGATATGTCATGTATGTTGTTTTGGAAGATGTTGATTTTGTGATATGTTGTTTTGGACAATGTTTATCTGGTGATATGTTGTTTTGGAAGATGTTGATCTGGTGATATGTTGTCTTGAAAAACATGACAAATGTAAATCTGGTGATATGCTGTTTTGAAAGACATGACTAATGTAAATCTGGTGATATGTTGTTTTGTAAGACAAGACAAATGTATATCTGGTAATATGTTGGTTTGGTAGACAAGACAGATGTAAATCTGGTAATATGTTGAATTGAAAGACATGACAAATATAAATCTGGTGATATGTTATCTCGGAAGACTTATGTAATTCTGATAATATATTGTTTTGGTAGCTGTTAATCTTGTGATATTTCGTTTTAAAAGACATGACAAATGTAAATCTGGTGATATATTGTTTTTAAAGACATGATAAATGTAAATCTGGTGATTGTTATTTTGGAAGACATAAGTTAACAAATGTAAATCTGGTGATATGGTGTTTTGGAAGATGTTCATCTGCTGATATTCTGTTTTGAAAGACAAGACAAATGTAGACCTGGTGATATGCTGTTTTAAAAGACATGAAAAATTTGAATATGTTGATATGTTGTTTTGTAAGACAAGACAAATGCAAATCTGGTAATCAGTTATTTTTGAAGACATAACAAATGTAAAATCTGATAATGTTTTGTTTTGGAAGACAAGACAAATCTTAATCTGATCTTATGTTGTTTTGGAAGACATGACAAATGTAAATCTGGTAATATGTTATTTTTGAAGACCTAACAAATGTAAATCTGATATGTTGTTTTGGGAGACATGACAAATGCAAATCTGGTGATATGTTGTTTTGGAAGATGTTAATCTGGTGATATGCTGTTTTGAAAGACAAGACAAATGTAAACCTGGTGATATGCTGTTTTAAAAGACATGACAAATTTAGATATGGTGATATGTTGTTTTGGAAGACATGACAGATGTAAATCTGGTGATATGCTGTTTTGGAAGACATGACAAATGTATATCTGGTAATATGTTGTTTTGGAAGACAAGACAAATGAAAGGTTTCCATGGACATCATAAAAAAAGTAAAATAAAAATACTGAACTCCAAGGCAAATTCAAAAAGGGGGGAAGTCCATAAAAACTGACATATTCAAACTCTATCAATCACCAGAACAAGTGAAAAACAAATGCCATGTTCCTGACTTAGTACAGGCATTTTCCAAAGAAACATAGATATTACAAGTATTGCTGGCATCAGTTATACTTATAAAGCAATGAATTTTGCTTTATGAATAACATTTTATTTGTGATGAATATATTCACTATCCATTTTCAGAATTGATAACTAAAAAGGAATAACAGGAATTCTAAATATACTGTACAGTACAAAAGGCCACATCAACAAAAACATACCTACAAAGAATGACAAAAACATACAAAGAATGACAATAACATACCTTACAAAGAATGACAAAAACATACCTACAAAGAATGACAAAAACATACCTACAAAGAATGACAATAACATACCTTACAAAGAATGACAATAACATACCTTACAAAGAATGACAAAAACATACCTACAAAGAATGACAAAAACATGCCTACAAAGAATGACAAAAACATACCTACAAAGAATGACAAAAACAATGAACAATACATAGTCTTAGAGTTCTTATCCTTTTACCTTTTTCCTGTACTTGTGTTGTTCATTTGATATACTCACAAATTCAAAATGTATTTTATAAACTGAAAAGAAAACATTTTATTTGAAAAAAGGACAAGCATACTAAAGATTTTCAGCTTTAATTTAAACTGTTGCATGTGTTGCATACATTATATTTAAACAAATATTTTGTTTATAAAGGTTTTATGAAGCATGGTATGGGGTGTTTTGATAAAGCATCCTTTAAAAATGCAACTAGTGCAAATTGTGAAAGCATGATGGCTCCTAAACCAGAACCAGAATCTTCATCTGCATCTCCAGAACCAGAATCAGAATCGAAAGCTCAAGAATGTCAGTAAGTAAACAAAAGTATTGGTGAATAGCATTGAGGTTTGTTTTTATTACAAAGTACAAAAAATAAGAAAGCACCACATACTTGGGAAATTGAGAAAATTTAAACAAATGTTATGACTGTCTTTTAGCAAGATACTATATTGATAAGGCCACCCTTAAAAAATTATTTGTTTGATGTTACCTACCCATGCCTCATATGGTTGGGTACGTATGTTGGGATTTCTTTTTTTTTTGGCCAACAACATAAATTACATGTTTTAGAAAATGACATAAGAGCAGGAAAAAGGGTTTAGATAAAAAGTTTGAAACAATTTGTGTCATAAAATGGATATTTTTGAAATCTCAAGAAGAGATTTTATATGAATTTATTAGGATTAAATATACTTACCATGATTTTTACTTTTATAAATATAGAATATTCCAGGATTAAACGGTTTAGTATGTTCTCAATCGCAAAAAACATTGAGGAGACCGAGATTTAAAACATCCGGTAATGTCAGAAATCTACTCACCTGGAATCAAGATATTAAAGTTCAGTTTTATATGGCGTTTAATTGGACAACCAAAATACACCAAAAAACTAAAATTTATACCGGGGTGGTGGCAGATTCTGGTAAGTATATTCAACCCTATAAATTCATATAAAATCTCTTCTTGAGATTTCAAAAATATCCATTTTATATGAATTTGGTTAAATATACTTACCATTGTATTTACTATTATAAATGTAGAATACTCGCTGATTACCAAGCAGTATTTCTCTGTAGGCGGTGGATAAATTCCTGATGATACATGAAGAAAAAATATTTTTCTTCAAAGTGATACATCATTAAACAGTTCTTTAAAATCTAAAATACTGTCACCAAAATTAAAACTTCCACCAAAAACAAACTATTTACAGGTTACTACTAGTCATCTTCCTGAAAAAAACATATAATACATATACTGTAACACATTTATATATATACATTTATATAATGGGAATTTCAAATATATAACAACCCTTTTACTGTAATATCTTGTCTATTTTAAACAAATTTATTGTAATACTTTGCAGGAATCTTAAGTCCCTCAAATAAAATCGTACAAAAGTTGAATCAGAAGACGGATCTGCTGCATCAAAAATTGATTTTGTCGAGGCTCTTTTATATAAAGCCCAACTTGGAGCAATTGCTCATGTGGAATGACCCTTTACTTTTAAATCCAGCTTGAAATTGTAACTGATGTTACAGGCTTAAGTGGTTCTTTCATTGCCAAAAATAACTTGACCTTGTCAGATGCCTCTAACTTTTGTCTGATATTCTTAGTCTTATCCAAATAAATGATAATTGAATAAATCTCTTTTGGGAAAATGCGGTACATGAATTTTTTCCCAAAGTTACTTTGCCTATCTTGTTTTGAAACTCTGTGTCTGATAAAGGTTATACCTTTCTCTTGAACCTTCATAGATTCTTTATCAATTCTAAGACTTTGCAGATCACTAATTTGTCTCTAAGTTGTTATAGCTATGAGAAAAACTGTCTTAAAAGTTATAAACTTTAAAGATGCCTAACATAAGGGCTCAAAAGGTTCATTCTCTAAAGCTTTGAGAAATATCTCTAAATCCCATTCTGGTAATAAATTTGTCTTAGGTCTAGAATGAAAAACTATCAACCTTGAAATATAAGGATGTTGACCAACAAGATAATTTTCAATAGGAGACAACACAGCTGACAACATGGAGCGATATCCAGATATTGTTCTGTACTGTAAACAGAGATGCTAGAAAATCGGCAATCTGACTTAAAGTAGCTGAATAGGGATTAATTTGTTTCCCAACACACCAGCTACTGTACTTTTTGAATTTTTACGATATAGTCTCATTGTGTACCTTTACTCCAAGATGCATTGAGCCAGTTTCTAGCCGATTCCGAAAATCCTTCTCCTTTGAAATTTCTGTTGAGAGGAGCCATGGGGCTAAATTCAACATTTGATGATTCGGATGACATATCTTGGTTTTGGGTTGGATCAACAAATTCTCAATGTGGCAGTCTGATAGGAGGCACTATTAATAACGAGAATTTCGGGAAACCAAAATCTCCTGGGCGAATGAGGTGCTATTAAGATAATCTGACAATGGAATTGCCTCATATACCTTAATATCTTTGGTATCAGACAGATCCTGATCAGGACCGATTTGTTTCTTAACTGATTCAGAAAATGTTTTATTGCAAAATAAACTGCTTTCATTTTTAAGCAATTGATATGCCACTCTTTCTTCTGTTAATTCCATTCCCCTTGGAAAATTTGTTTCCCAACATAACCCCCAAAACACCTTTTGGAAGCTTCTGTTGTGACTGTAACAGTGGATATCTGAGACACTAAAGATCGGCCTTTCAGAGTGTTCACTGTATTTGTCCACCAAGAAAGATGCGATTTTAGATGTTGAGTAAATGGAATTTCTACTTTCATATCTTTGCAAATTGGATTCCAAAAAATTTAATACCGGTAGATGTAATTGTATTGGTCTCATGTGTAGACTAGCATTTGGAATTAACTCTATACAAGATGCCATTACACCCAGAATACGTAAAAACTAGATCTACTGTTTTCACAGTCTGCATGTTCTGAATTAACATCTGTAATTTTTCTATTCTCTCTAAAGTTGGAAAAGTTAACCCTTTTTCTAAGTGAAAATCTCCCCCCAGATAAGTCACTGACTGACTTGGAACTAAATTGGATTTCTCCTTGCTTACTATGAAGCCTAATGAAACTATCAGCTTGAGACACTTCTCTCAATCTAATATCTATTGATTTTGGTCTTGATCGACTATCATCCAATTGTCCAAATATACCACCGTTCTTAAATTCTGAGCTCTGTGATATGCTACAACTACTGATACAATTTTTGTGAAAATTTGTGGAGCACATGTTGGCCCAAAGCACATTGTTTTCCATTGATAATATTGGTTTTGAACACAGAACCTCATGAACTGTCTGTGTGACTGAAATATTGGGACATGGAGATACCCATCTGACAGATCGAGATATATGGCCCAATCGTTCAGTATCACCAAGTTTATTACCTTTTGCATAGTGTCCATTTTGAAATGAATTTTCTTTAGATATCCATTTAGGGGTTTCAAATTTTTCACCATTCTTAACTTCCCATTTTTCTTGGCGTCTAGAAATAATGTGCTGTAAAAACCGTTTAGACAACGCAGAAACTGAACTTTTTCTATTACATCTTTTTCTAGCATTTAAGTATATTTCTTGCATAAAAATACCCAAATTGTCTGTTTGTACAATTGTCTTTTTAATCCCTGTCCAAATAGGCTTTTGTATAAATTCCAGTTTGTATCCTTCTCTCACAATTGAGAGAACCCACTGATCTTATGTTATTTTCTCCCAATTTTGAAGAAAAATCTTTAATCTACCCCCTACTGGTTTATCTGGACACATCATTAAACTTACTTCTTAGTCAGCTATCCTTTCTCTTGGGGATCCGAAAAGAACCCCAGGATGACTGTGAAGTACTCTTGCCAGACTTAAAGCCAGTCTTTTTTGCTTCCTGTCCAGCCTGTAGTGAGAAAGGTGCTGTCTTATCTTTTTGTCCCCCGCGCAATGTGTTGCCGGGGACATATAAGTAGCGGTTGTCTTTCTGTTCTTTACGCCTTTCCAAAGATGTTCCAAGTCCTTTACCAAATAATCCATCATGTGTGAGTGGAAGATATTGGCACTTACTGCGCATATCTTTTAAATCATTCAAGCCAGAATCTTGAGCTACCACTTTACGGTGTATCAAATGACAGAAAGCATCTGAGTATCCCAGGACCTGACAGAATTCGGACCATGTGTCTGTTATCATAGGTTCCAATAAATCATCTAATGGCGGAACTTGTAAAAACTTGACTGAACTATCATGAATTGGAAAACAATTCTTGTAGTCCTCTTTATATGCAGAAATTCTGTCTGGGTTTTTTGAACGCCAAGAATTTTCTAAAATGTCAACCTGTACTTGGTCTAAAACCAAAACAATATTACATCTCTCTTTAGCAATATCCTCCTTAAATATTTTGGATAGAAAGTTTACATTATTGTTTGTCTGCCCTTGATCAGACTTATCATGATCATTAGAAAGAGAGATACCACCATGTACATTTGAATTTTGTACATTGACATGTTTTATAAACTGTTAACAATTAGGATTATTGACAGTATCAAATTCTTCAGTGTTCTCTTTCACTGGACTACCTCCAGACACACTTTCTTCATCTGACCTTATATCCAGATAATTTCTTTCACATTGCTGAACATGTAAAGATATTTCTGACCTTGTGTCAATATCTAGGTTCCTAGAAACCCTTGGCGACCCCATATCTTGGTCCAAGTCTGGTTCTAATGGTATGACTGGCCTAGGCTCCCCTGATGGGAGGTTACCCATTTCATTGCATTCAGATCTGGGCAAAAATTCCCTATTCTGATTGCCAGAGGCAAACAACTCAAAAAGTTTGTCAAATTTATGATAAAAGTTCTCAAGGTTATGGAGTCTTTTTTTATCATATTCAGCCTGCATGTTAGCTGATTTTGAAGCCCTAGTAGCCTTTTTACCTGCTGACTTCTTCTCTGGTTCTGTTTTTGTCCTAGCACTGACCTTGCTGGGCTGTGAAGAGAAACGCTCTTCTTTCAACAATACCATGCATGGTGCAACCGGTGCCGACTCTTCATACATATGTATCCAGTCATTCTGCTTTCCCGTCTCATCCATGTTGATGAATGACGATGGATACAACAATCTTGTGTTAGTATTTAACTAAATAATTTTTTTAGATTTTGATGAGAACACCCATTCAATTGAACGCAAAAAATAAAACTGAACTTACATTGATTCTAGGTGAGTAGATTTCATACATCATTGGATGTTTTAAATCTTGGTCTTCCGATGTTTTTTGGGATTGAGAACATTCTAAAACGCGGAATATTCTATATTTATAATAGTAAATATCATGGTAAGTATATTTAACCAAATTCATATAAAATTGTTCAGGTAGGCTGCTTTTTAGGTGGGAAAGTAGGCAACATCAAACAATTTAATTTTTATTTTTGGCCTAAAAAGCAACAAGATGTATTGTATGCAATGCTTGGGTGTAAGTCATTTGATAGAAACTAATTTTTAATTTCCAGATTTATCTACCTTATAAAAAGGCATTAGGCTATTCTGATTTTTGCTTTGAATGCAGTATATGTACTTGCAGCATATTTTTTTTTTTTTAATTTTGCGGTAGGTATTTGCAAAGATAAATACCAGCGAATACAAATGCAGCTTACATGCATTTAAAACCATTGAATAAATATTGATGAATATATATATTCAACTTTACATGCATGTTTACCATACATAACCTCAGTTGAACTTTGAAACTGTTAAAACAACACCAGTGATCAATACAGAAAAACAATTAAGGTGAGATAGACAAAAGATAACAAATAATACTCCGAGCCGAATATGCAACTTTATTGTGTAATTACAACTTAATTAGATAATGACCTCTATCGCTATTTTGTGTATTTTTCCTTTGATCTTTTTTGTGATAATTTTTTCATGTCATGCTACTCGCTTGAGATAGAAAATTATAGCTAGAACTTAAGGGCGCACCCAGGCCTACTCCTTTAAGTATAAGAGTACACATGAAAAAAGGTAAATATACAGTAAGAAATTTTGCCTATGGAAGAGATTTAATACTGTAAATTCAAAAATTATTGTGAGGTTTTTATTAATGCGAATAATACGACTGAAAGAGTATCGCAATAATAAGAACTAACATTCTTATATCAGAAATATAACTGTATGCCGATTTTCCTGAAATCGCATTAATTTATCTCGAATTTTAGTACATTCTACAAAATTCGCAATTATAAATGCATGCAATAATTTCTGAATTTACAATATTAAACAAGATATTTTGTTGAGAATTTCGTTTTCCTACAAGGGGATCCATATTTTTTCAGAGGAAAGACTTCTATGTGGAGTGTTCCTCAATATATTGGAGTATTTTTGGTTATGCTCTTGTATATATAGACCTTATTGCTATTTGGAAATCTGCGTCGCTTGACCTGAGAATTTGCGCTTCTTGAAATATTGACGTCATACAACAATCACTTTTCCATTGTGACATTAAAATTTACGGGAACCTTTGTGATGTCCAGTAATGGCGGACAAATAGCGATAAGGTGTATTGTATATCTGTATATATTTCTGTTAAATCTTCAGTTTATTATACTTTTAGGCGTACAACATCGATGTTTGAATGTTATGCCCAGCAGGTTGAAGCTGAGTGCGGAGAGGATGCAGTAGAGTTTATTTCAAAGGTTAAAGGCAGATTCATGAACGCTATACTCGGAAACCTTAATTGTCCAACAAGTGGTAATTACACATACATGTGTTATAATATCCTAAGTAAAAGAATGAATGTTAAACTGCATTATGTGATCATGAAATAAGTAGATATGGGTTATTATTAATTGAAAGGGGAAAGATGAGATCTTAAAACATAATTTATTCCTGTCACGTCAAGGGGATGAATGTCATATTTTAGGTACTCGGTTACTAGTATCTTATTTACACCAGGTTGAAAGATATCATTGAAAGTATTATCTGATTACAAATCAGCAATTGTGGTTGTACCCTCACAAAGCAAGATTTCTAGTGAAAATATCTGTGACTTTTTATCTATGACTATGTCTTACATTCCTCAAAATATCCTGATGTACTTAGTACTAAGGATGATTAAGGTGCAAAATCATTTGTTCTGTTGTGACTTTTGACCTTGAGAATCAGCAGCTCTTTTCACAAAAAATCTTAAGAGTAAAATTACTTGTGAGTCATACACATTTTAGTATAAATTGTGATCAATTTTAATAGTAAGATTTTTTGTGAAAAGAGTCAAAGCTTACCCACTCGTAATGTTAATTATACCCCTGCTTTAAAAAAGTGGGGGTATACTGTTTTACCTCTGTCTGTCCGTCCATCCGTCCTATGAATATTTTTCGTCGCATCTTTCTCAGGAACTACATTACAAGGATTTCTGAAATTTGGTTTCATGAGTCAGCTATACCGTGTGATGCGTTTTCAGATTCATCACTCAACAACTTCCTGTTTATTGAACATCTGTATCATTTTACACATGATAGCCAAGTTGAAAATTTTCGTCACATTTTTCTCAGGAACTACAATACAAGGATTTCTGAAATTTGGTTTCAGGGTTTATATGAGTCAGCTATACTGTGTGATGTGTTTTCAGATTCATCACTCAACAACTTCCTGTTTACCGAACACTTGTATTATTTTACACATGATAGCCAAGTTGAAAATTTTTGTCACATTTTTCTTAGGAACTGCAATACAAGGATTTCTGAAATTTGGTTTCAGGGTTTATATGAGTCAGCTATACTGTGTGATGCGTTTTCAGATTCATCACTGAACAACTTCCTGTTTACCTTATACTTTTAGCGGGGCGGGGGTATCATTAGTGAGCAGTAGTTCACAGATTCACTTGTTTGATTCAAGTTTATTGAGTTAATCTGTAAATTTAGTTTGTATTGTGTAATTAATGTCCTGACCATGGTTTTTCACCTCAACTTTCATAATGCTAAGAACCACAACATGCAGACAGAGTTCGAATTTGGGTTATAAGTCATTTACCGTTCTAGAGTTATGCTCCTTTTATTAACTTGGAAAATTGCAAAGCCTGAACGGGGCATTCATGTCCTTGATGATGGGAGTTTTTAACGACCTTGACTGGCTATACAGCCCTCGCACGGTCGGCCATTCATGTCCTCAGACACATTCTTCTTTTAATAAGACTTTTTTTTGTTACTGGTGAAGGAAAAATTTATGATTGTCATTTTTTCTCAGTAATAGTAGGTCTATCACCGTTTTAATTATGGACATAGAGTCGTGACAAGGATTAATTATCAAATGGAAAGAGTAATGTTTAAAGTCAATGATAGTGTGTTTAATTAAATAGCCCAAAGTTGAAATTCAACTTTTCAAATTGGCTTGCATTTACCAGAGCAGAGATGTTAAACAAGTAAATTCCATTGGTCATGTTGGTATTACAGAAATACATAGAAGAGTTCAATCTTTCCTTAGTTCTATTTATTTGTAGAAAACTATAGATATAACTTTTTTCTGAGCATCATACAAATATGTGTTTACTTAAACATATTAACTACTTACAGTTTATATAGCCTTTCTAATAATAACCCACAATTATTGATGCTTGTTCATTTGAGTTTTTGACCTATTTTATAGGTGGTGTCAGACTAGCAGCACAGACATCAGTATTCTTAGCTTTCCTGTTGGCAACTTTCTTCATGTACTAGAATACCATTCTTTGGACACCCATTAACAACATGAAGCAGAAAGTTACACTGAGTTACCATCAGTTGGATAGTAAAATGGATTATTTACCAATGAAAGAAAAATCTTAATGAAAGTTTTTGCAAGAATTATTCAAACCAATGCTTCGAATTTCAGATGGTGTTACATATACATAGATAATATATTGGAGGAATTAGAATGGAGAATTTAGTAATTAATGCAGTTGTCACTCCCAATCTTGTTATAGATAAGTTTTGAATATGAAAAATTTCATTGCTATGTGAATTAGATTTTTGGCCAGCCGAATTTTTTTTTGTGGATGGGTGGCTGTCTCTATGGATATGTATCCATATATCTGTTTATTTACATTTTCCACTAAAATTTGAAAAAATGCTATTTGCTTCAGACTCAGAGCATTGACCAATTTTTCCAAAATGGTCACTTCTGTTAAATTTTTTCTACAGTTATTCTGATAATTGATTATTGTGAAAATCAATGTTGCTTAAAGTTGACCTTAGAATTCCTTAGTTCCTCATGAGTAATTTTGTTTTCAAGACCTGAGAATTTACCCTTAAAAACTTTATAGCTCTTAGCAAAATTGAAATAAAACAGAAATTGAATATTTTTCACTTGAGAATAAATTGATTTCTGGGGTAATTATGGAAATGTGCACAGTCTAGTGACTTATGTTGCTTCACTTTGTTTATTTTAACAGGTAACACATAATGTTTTACCACTTAATGAACAAGTTATTGAAATGTGTGATTGCATTACATGTGTTTGTGCATAATCATGTATGCATCAGTTGAAATTATTTTACAAATTTATACAACTTTATCATAAGATACTTATGAATTTACCTAATTATGCCCACACAGAGGTTGTTGTGAACGAATTTACCTAATTATGCCCACACAGAGGTTGTTGTGAACCAATATTGTATAACACAAAGAGGTTGACCATGTGCTCAAAATTTATTACATAAATGAGGTGGAATAATTTGGTAAAGGGAGATTACTCTTTAAAATCAATAATATGTTTGTTATAGTCAGCTTTTTAGCACTACTGTAACAAAAGTACATGTAATGGTTCTGTGTTACTTAAAAGCTTAGAATATGTCTATGAAAATGACCAACTCAAACATACCAGAAATTTTAAAGAATTATGTCCCTTCCCTTAGTTGTTCCTCTCAAAGTATAGACAGGTCCTTATATTTTACACTTAATGCAAGGTTGTAACACATTGTTGTGAAATGGAAAACTTTCTTCACAATAACTAGAAACAGATCTGATTAATAAATTGAATACTCATTGGAAAGGAATGTTTTTTTCATAATTTTTAGTTGTTTATAGAGGTTAGTTTGTTATTGTATATTATTTTATAAATTTACAATACATTTTGGATATTGTATACAGAAGTTATCACTGTTAAGATTACAAGAATATCTTCTTTATTTTATGTTTATTAGTTGATAAAACTTACAAAACTAAATATAAGTTAATGCATACTTAAGTTATGACTATGAAGATCATAAGAATTTTTCTTATAATAATCAAAATGTAATTGCATTTTTATACACCAACTAGTCTTTTAACAGCATTTTTGTTTAATGTTTTATTTTGTGTAATTTTTTGTTAAACTTTTTTTTTAAATGAAACTAATATGAGGATATTTTTTTTTCCTTTTGGAAATGAAAAGTCTTGCACAGTTTTTTTGTGTATCATAGATTCAGTTTGAATTTGGATATTGTTTGAACTGATGAGTTTTCTTTTTGAATTAAGAATAATATTTTTTTGTAAAGATAACAACTACAGGGAAGAAAATTTAAAATTAAACAGGAGGAAGAAAAAAGATTTTTGAAATTGAGGTTTAAAAACATTATTGACATTGATATTCCAGTAAGACTACAGACATTTGACTAAGTTCTTTTTACGTTTAGTTCTCAAAGTCATACAATGCAAAATCTTTCTGTCACAAGTTGGTTTAGAAAAGTAACTTATAAATTTTTATTATTGATGAGTTGTATGGAAAAAAAATCGTGAAAAAAATCAACAGAAATATGAAGATCAAATTAAAACTAAACAAACAGGAAAATAAAATTCTTGAATTAAAAAAAGATTACTTAAGGAAGAGTACATTTTTAAATACTGTTTAAAAGAGTTAGAAAGCTTACAGTCAGATTAAGGCAATTCACCGTTTGAGAATCTTAAAACACTATGGGTACGAAAAAATGAAAATGTCATGCATTTTTTAAATTCCCATTGTTTAGCTATTTTTTTAGTTCTAAGCTAAACGGTTAAGTCTATGCTTTTAAAAATATTATTCAAAAAGTATATAATTTTTGAAACGAAGAAAAAAATATATTTGTTTCCTGCACCTGACGATCCAAAAATGTTGGGACTGAAACTTATGTTTTGGAATTGAGGCATTACCTTTTAAAAAAAAAAAAAAAAAAAAAAATGGAGAATTGCCAGAAGTGGGAAACAAACATATTTTTAAAGATGCCTTAAAGGTTGTAAATGAATCTGGTATACATGATTTTTTTCTATATTAATAAATCTGTATCTGTCAGGGACAGATTTGTATATACATGTACTGGTATTGTTTTTGTACTATTGGCCTCTTTAGTGAGTCCTTCACCTTTTATGCCATTAATTGGAGGACTATGGATGTACACAGAATAGCGTGCCTATCTTGTGGTTGTTGTCTGCCTTATTGAGCTATACAACACATCTCTTTTTTCACCTTTATATACAAATTGCACAGTATTGATAATCTTTCAATAAGTTGAAATTTTAAAGATTGTTAACAATAAGCGTAATTTATAGTTCTTTTTCAGAAATTGTTTATTTTATTTTGTAATTTTCTGAAATGGAAACATTTCCTCCAATTAGCGTTATCTTGATTTCTTCTGATACATGTTTTTCTGTACATCTTGAATTGTTTCAAGTTTTTAGAATGAAAACTAATTATAAAGGCATTTAAACTCTGATATTTGAAATTCATTTTAGATCTTCACTATCCGAAGTGCAATTCATATTGTTGAAAACTTAAATGCATGTTTTTTGGGGTGCCATTTATAGGTTATGACAATATTTTTTTTACAATTCTAGGCAAATTTCTAGGAAAGTAACATTAAAAGTGGAAATTTAAAAGATGATTATAAATTACCATAGATTTGTTTTGTTACCAGTAGGTATGGTGCCTTAAGTTTAGACCCATAGTCCTTCAAATTAGGTCATTTTATATAAGTGCTTTGCAGTAGATCTGGTAGTGGTTTATTAGTGAACAGTTGTTTTTAGATATAGTATTGTTAATGTTGTATCTCTTGGTTGTAGACATAGTATAAATTATTGTTGAGATATGTATTAGTCTGTTTAATACTGATTTTACACTTTTGCCTGGTGCTTCACTAATAAATAATTATAATTTGATACTTTGGCTGAAATTTTATTGATTATTTTGCAATGTCTTCCTTGTAAAATTAAAGCATAAAACCATTTTGCATGCAATAAATAGGTTTTTCATTGAACACAAATCTTGATTGTTTTTATACAAGCCTTCAATGACTTGCTTGATGTGCTTATACATTGTTTTCAAAATTTAACTGATAATTAAGAATAGTGGTCTCCTTACTCTCCTATACTATTTTAATTGTCATTCCACTGTTGTAAGACTTTGTTTGACAATTCTATTAGATAGCTGAAAGTTGCTGGTGATGGGAGCATTGAACAACAGATGTTAGATTTATGGAATGTCAATTTATTTTTACATTCTATAGACGAATTTTGCTATAAATTACACAGAGCAAATATTTTGGTTTTCTTTTTTCAGCATTGAATGATCTGAAGACAAAGTTGAATAAATTTGCATTTGTTTACATTAAGTGTTTTTGAAAAGTATATATTTTTTATGTTATTTAGTCATAATTATTGAAGAAATGTTGCTGATTTTACTAAATAATGAAAAAATTCTCTTAAATAATTTCCACAAAATAAAAACCTTCATGTACAATGTCAACATAAAGCTTTTACTTACAAATAAATAAACATTTTTTTCAAATCTCCGCCAATAAATGTTAATTGTCTATATATTCCTATGGTGATTGTTATTTAAATTTTTCTGCAATAGATTGTTTTATCTTGCCTTAATATTGCCTTAGTGCCATTATGCCATTGTAGTGCAATACTTCAGTTGTTAAATGATGTATTTTGCCTGAGTGGTTTTGCTTGTTTATTGTTCATTAGGTAACTTCAGATGATCTTGAAGAATCCGACCTCTCAATTTTTCTTCATACAAAATTAAAAGATCTTTTAACAACTTGTATGGTTTCACTGCACAAGGGAGATCAAATGTGGAAAAGAAAAATGCAAAGAAGGTTTAACTAATCCTCAAAGTGATTGTACAGCTATTCACTAATGAAGGAAATATTGTAATTGCATTTCAACTAATTAGAATGATAACATTTATTCAAGGATTTCAATGGATACTTCATTGGTACGATTTCTAGCAATGATTTTTACCTCAGGTTTTGGTGATTTGTGATTCCTTTGTAGTTGTAACTATGCAACATAGTTTTATATTCAATGTTTATCGTGCTTTGTTGTACAATGTAGCATTTATCCTCTTAATAAAGAAATTGTGTAAATGTATTTATTCTTTTGTTCTTATATTCCTTATGATAATTCATAAAAAAAAATCAGTTTTTGCCAAGGAAATTTCAAGACTGTTTTAAAAATGATTTGGATTGAAATACCTTGACATCATTACATGACTCTCTCAGTCAGAGCTGACCCTTTATGGATTTATCTACTGTTGAGTCATTATTATTCGTGGGATACCAATTTTCATGGAATTCAAGGGTACAGGTGAACCATGAAATTAAATGTTCAATGAATGACAAATTTCCTATAGGCTTGTATGCAGACTTTAATAATTCTTCCCTTAGTTTATTTATTTTGTATTTACATTGTATCATAGATCAAATTTATTTGTTCAGTATATGTTCACTGGTGTTAATATGTCTTTTGATTGAGTTAAGCAATTTCAATTGATATTTTATAGTGTGTCTTTCTATGTTGTGATGTTACACTATTGTTTCAAATAAGGGTGAAGGTTTGGTACCATTAAAACGTTTAAACCCGCTGCAATTGTTTGCACCTGTCCTAAGTCAGGAATCTGATGTTCAGTAGTTGTCGTTTGTTGATGTGGTTCATAAGTGTTTCTCGTTTTTTATATAGATTAGACCGTTGGTTTTCCCGTTTGAATGGTTTTACACTAGTAATTTTTGGGGCCCTTTATAGCTCGCTGTTCGGTGTGGGCCAAGGCTCCGTGTTGAAGACCGTACTTTGACCTATAATGGTTTACTTTTATAAATTTTGACTTGGATGGAGAGTTGTCTCATTGGCACTCATACCACATCTTCTGATATCTATTTGGAAAAACCATGAATTTAAAAATCCACGAGATGTAACTTTTTCTTAATCCACGAAAATTGGTACCCAAGAAAATAAATGAATCCACAGTATATTTAAGGTCCCTGGGTCAAATAGCTACTAATGTGTTTAAGTACTTATAAATTTCTGGGTTTGAGCATTCCTGATGAAGTTTAATTCAGTTGAATTAATGAAACCAACCAGATTTATAAAGTGTTATTTTCATTTTGAAGCTATATATAGAAAGTTGTGGATTTATTTTTGCATCGATCATGGTAGATAGATACTCAAATTAAAAGCTTACACATTTGTTTTATGGAGATTTAAATATGTACGAATTCAAATGATAATTTTAAAAGCTTGGTTACATATCTCTTGTTTTCCCTTTATAGCTCATATTGAGAGATTGCTCATCACTTGGCGTCCGTCATCTGTTGTCTTCGTTATTCAAGTTGTACAAAAAATTTCTCCACTGAAACTCCTGGGCCAATTGGAACCAAACTTGGCCACAATCATCCATGGGGTATTTAGTTTAAAAACTGTGTCCAACCACTCCACCTGCCAAACAAAACATGACAGACATGGCTAAAAATAGAACATAGGGGTAAAATGCAAGTTTTGTCTATAATTATCTTGAAAAGTGCTTTAGATGAGAGAAAATCTGACAAGGGCAGAATTGTTCTGAATGTTCAAATCTATATCAAAACTGTCAGACGCCTCCTTATAGGAGTTGCTGCCCTTAAACGATGAACTTTACCATTTTTTTGTTGTGCCTGCGACTTTTGTCGCAGAAAGCTCGACATAGGGATAGTGATCCAGTGGCGGCGACAGCTAAACTAACTACTTGAAACTTAATATTTCCGAAGGTAGAAGACCTGGATGCTTCATTCTTTGTATATATATATATATATATATATATATATATGCCTTATGTTATTAAGTTTCAGTCTGTCATATGTCCATTGTCCTTGACCTCATTTTCATGATTCAGTGACTACTTCAAAAAAAGTTAAGATTTTTGTAATGTTAATTTCTCTCTTATTATGAGTAATAGGATAACTATATTTGGTATGTGTGTACCTTGCAAGATCCACATGCCTGTCAGACAGTTTTCACTTGACCTCAACCTCATTTCATGGATCAGTAAACAAGGTTAAGTTTTCATGGTCAAGATACTATAAGTAATAGTTCTACTTAATTTGGTGTATGGAATGATTGTAAACTGTACATGTCCAACTGGCAGGTGTCGTCTTACCTTGACCTCATTTTCATGGTTCAGTGGTTAAAGTTAAAATTTTTGTGTTTTGGTCTGTTTTTCTAATACTGTATGCAATAGGTCAACTATATTTGGTGTATGGAAATATTCTATGTCAGTCTGGCATGTTTTATTTGACCTTAACCTCATTTTTTACGGTTCATTTCTCAATGTTAAGTTTTTGTGTTTTGGTCTGTTATTCTTAAAAAAAATGAAAACAACACGTTATAAATTTCATGCGTCTGAAGTGCTTTTCTGGATTTACCATCATCAGGAACGCATAAATCATGTCAGTACTGAAGTACTGACTACTGAGCTGATGATACCCTCGGGGACTGATAGTCCACCATCAGAGGTATCGACTCAGACTATAAGCAATAGGTCAACTTTATTTGGTGTATGGAATGATTGTAAGGTGTACATGTCTGTCTGGCATGTATCCTCTGTTCTTGACCTCATTTTCATGGTTCATTGGTCAATGTTAAGTTTCCTGGTTAAGTTTGTTTCTTAGATACTATAAGCAATAGGACAACTATATTTGATCCGTGGAATGATTGTAAGGTGTACATGCCTGTATGGCAGGGTTCATCTGACCTTGACCTCATTTTCATGGTTCATTGGTCAATATGAAGTTTTCAAGGTTTGATCTGTTTCTTTTAGTACTAAAAGCAATAGGTCAACTATGTTTGATGTATGGAATGATTGCAAGGTGTACATGTATTTCTGGCTTGGTTTATCTGACTGCCCTCATTTTCTTTGATCATGTTAAGCACCTGAGATCACCCCCAGGTTTGGTGTTGTTCGTGTTGCTTAGTCTTTAGTTTTCTATGTTGTGTTTTGTGTACTATTGTTGGTCTGTTGGTCTTTTTCTTTTTTAGCCATTTGGTATCTTTCGCCTCTCTTTTAAGTTTATGTGATACATGTAGTAAAACTGCACATTTAGGACTATCAACATAAAATCAATGCTCAGTAAAGCAGGCGAGACAATTCAGCGTGTGAACTCTTGTTTATTTTGCCTGTTATCTTGAAAACTATAATAGATAGAGAGAAACTTTAAAAATCTTTAAAGGCTAAAAGCAAGAAAAGATCTACAAGTAAGTTGACAGAAAACAGAAATTGTCAGTTGACTCCTTTTAGGAATTATGGCCCTTACATGACGATTTGTACCAATTTTATTTGTTTTTGTCTTTAAATTTCAAATTGTAATTGATAGATAGAAACTTTTTAAAAAATAGCAAAAATTATCAGCAAGATCAGAACTACAAATAGGCCAAGTGATCCAAATCGTCAGTCAACTCCTTACAAGAGTTATTGCCCTTACATGATGATTTTTACCATGATTTTGCACATTACCTTGAAAACTATTATAGACAGATAAACATTTTAAAAAGCAAAAATGATCAGCAGAACAAGATCTACAAATACCCCAACATGACCGAAATATGTACTACCTCTGTACCTTTGTCTTTGGGTGCAATCCTCATGCTCCCTGTTTTTGTTGCTCCCAAGCAAATTTAATTTTTGTAAATAACACATGAAAAAGCATTTAAAGACCTTGCCGTCACTGTTAAATCTCATTATCTGACAGCCAGACAGGTTATTCCACTGGTCCACTGAGACCCAATTTCACTGACGGCTAGAAAGGTTTGAATGTATACTAAATTCTTACCTTGTCTTTTTCAAAATATATCCAAAAGAAATGACAAAATATCTGAGGAGATACGAATGACCCAATTTGGCAGAAAATAAATAGAGAACTCCATAAAATTTACGTAGCTGAATTTCCAGATTGATTCGAACGATCCGGAAATTTTCTCAGGTGTCCCACACAAAGCAAAGGTGTTAAGTAAAGAATTTTGAAACAAAAACATCAGTTAAGCGATACAGGCCTAATTTATATGTACGTTATGTGTTTCGTGTTCACCCACCAGGGGCGGATCCAGCCATTTTTAAAAAGGGGGGGGTGTCCAACCCAGGAAAAGGGGGGTTCCAAACATATGTCCCCATTCAAAAGCATTGATCGTAAAAAAAGGGGGGTTCCAACCCCCGGAACCCTCCCCCTGGATCCGCCACTGCCCACTTAACTAAGTAAGTTTTCAAATAAAACACTTCCTCCCGCCATGAAGCAGTTAATATTCTTTCTTTTATAAAGGTAGTTAATTAAATGAATAACAGTAGAATAGTGGTATGCGTAAACGAGACACCAACCCAACGACACAAAAGACATTTAGAGTCAAAAGGTCGTTAAAAGTAGACAGAATTATATCCAATATGTGAAATTCTAAATCGACCAAATTCTTCAAAAAGTGGTTAATATCTGTCAACTACAAGGAATTTCCAAAATGTAAAAAATGAAAACGAAAAAGATCATCTTAATTTTAGTTTTGTTTTATATGAAGAAAACACCTTTAATTGGTTTTTTTTATGAATTATGCAAAATCTTTCTTTTTCACATTTCTCGAATTGTTTATCTTTGTCGTTTACAATTATCGTTTTATGTACATTTCAGAGTATAAATCTGGAATGTGTTTCAAAATACAAATACCTAGGTTTATACTTAAGCTCATCTGATTCATTTAGTTATGCTCAAAATAAACTATACAAGAAATCCTTGAAAGTTTATTTTAAATTAAGGAAAGATTTTTTATCACTTAATCCTAACGTAAAAACAAGTATTCATGTTTTTGATCACACTGTAAAACCTATTTTATTAAATACAAGAATGTAATGTCTAATTACAACATGATATTTGTTTGTGTATGTGACAACTCTGCATTAAGCATAAGAGGACAGAACAATCCCAGATTTTTTAACAATGATAAAGTACACTTAAACTTTCAAGGAACAAGCATTTTTGTCAGTAATCTTAAATTTTCTATTTGCAAAGTATTAGGAATTGAAAGAAAGGTAGAAAATAATTCTGAGAGATATGATGGCTAAAGTCAGTATGGTGGCAATGACA